GGGGTATAAAGGGATGGAGAAATAACTTATATTCCTTATTCAATTCCTAATATAAATGGATACTCATTTAAAACTTATTTGTATATAATTGGTAAATTGTATATGACCATGTAATTAAGTTAAAATTTAATTAGGGAGAGTAATAAAGTTTCATATGTATTATAGGTTGGTAAAAATCTTTTAGTGTTCCTTGAGAGTTAAATATACATGGGCCGGCTATCACAGCCCAAAAGGATGATGCACATTACTCCCTAAAAGGCCAGAAACAAAGTTATCCTATCTGAGTAGCCCACTGCGGAAGCCTCTTACCTGTTCGACAAAATGCCTCAAAGAGAATAATCATCTAAGTTCTTTCACAATCTACGATTCTTGGTTTAAGGGAGTCTTGGTTTTGCTGGTATAATTTAGCCTGAAGATTGAAAATGGAGAAAATAATGGTGTTGCAGCGTAATCCAACTTCCCTATCCACGCAGCTATTCCCAACTACAACTGCTTATAACTGCAGTTTAAGCTGCTCCAATGTCATTTCTTTCAGATTTCCCAGAAGAATTAATATAGTCAAAATTTATTCTTTTCAAAAGTTCACTAAAAGGACTAACGTAGTCAACTTAACCAAAGCTTCTTTGTGGGAAGATCCTGATGACGGTAGTGATAGTGAAGATGATGATGAAGAAGAAGTGGAAGAAGAGAATGAAATGGAAGAAGAAGAAGAAGAAGAAGAAGAAGAAGATATGGATGTTAAGAGTAAGTGGGACTATGGAGCAGAAAATAAAGCAACAGCTAGTTCTACAAATGGGTTGTCTAGTAGCAACTCTGAAGAGGAGTTTATGAAAGGTATTTTTTTTTTTCTGTTTTCAAGCGGGGCAGTTATATAATTGTTGTTGTCTTCAGAAAATTCTTGAAAAATGGTAGTTTATTCAAACTATCTAAAGAAAACTGTAACAAAAGGGATAAAAGAAAAACTAAGTTAGGTGATTTCTTCCCCTGAGCCTTGGTGGGCCGAATTAACCGGTATCTGTGTTGGGTGGGATGTAGAAAGTAGGAGGTAGGAGGTAGCTGGTATCCGGTGGAATAATCAAGACGTGCTGCAAGTTAGCTCAGACACCACTATTATGGAGGGATTNGGGGGGGGGGGGGGATAACGAGGGGTTAGGAGATGACTTGTAATCCATCCGCCTGGTGGACTTTAGACTCAATCGGTCTATGGAAATACATAGCGGCATACAACCAAAATGACTCCTGGTAGATATTAGTGCTTTTCTGTCTTTTGACAGCCTCGAGAACAGATTGAAAGAAGGGAAGTTACAAAATGAAGGGAGGAAATCTTAGAGATAGACATTGTAGAATGGATGGTTCCAGCCGGCGATGTTAATAAGTTGTGTTGCGTCATTTGTTCTTTATTTAGTTTTGTATCTTAACTTCAGTTGACAGAAGCTCTAGTGCATCAATTCAGCTAATCTGTTNCATTTGTTTTTGTTTCAGAGGTAGAACAGCTTTTGAGCCCAGAGGAAAGGGCAATTTTGTACTGCAACCATACTACAGAGCTGGATAAGATATCAACTGTAAGTTCCAAGGACCTCCAGCTGCCTCTTTTCATGTTAACATCTTCTCTGATAAGTAAATTGGTAGTCTTTCGTACAAGCCAGGGGCTTGCTCTTCTAACTGTTGGAAAATAGAAACTGCCTGCAAACTGCAGAGACCAAAATCCACATTATTAAAAAGAAATCATACATTCTTTTGCTGGTTTCTGGAACAAGTCCTGATACTAATGGATGTGTGTCTAATCCAGGAAAAATGGAACCCTCTTCACACTTTTGCACTAGCAGGGCAGATACGATTTATGGATAGACTTCTAGAGGAGGGTCTTGATATTGATGTTGTTGACAAGGTAAGATTCGTTGTATTCCACAATACCGTTGTTTGTTCGTTTGGTATGAAGTAAGTCATTCAGTTAATTTGATGACAGGAAGGGCGAACTGCTCTCCACCATGCGGTTTTTGGTAAAAAAGAGGCTGTCATCAGTCATCTTCTAAGAAAAGATGCAAATCCTCAAGTTAGGGATTTGGTGAGACGGGTTACTTTTTCTTTTTACTCTTTTAAAAACTTGCTTAAAGTTTGATTAGAGGGATCATATTTATATCTTTTTCATCCTGTTAACAGGACGGTGTTACCCCGCTTCATTATGCAGTTCAAGTAGGAGCCATGCAAACTGTTAAGTTGTTAATCAAATACAAGGTTGATGTGAATGTTGCTGATAACGTAAGTGAACCATTTATTTTATTTTCTGACATTTTCCTGGTCCTTTAAATTTATTTGAAGTAATTCCTTCTTACAGGCGGGCTGGACGCCGCTGCATGTGGCCATGCAAAGCAGAAACAGAGACATAGCCAAAATTCTTCTAGTCAATGGAGCAGATAAGTACAGGAAGAATAAGGTAATTGTACGTATAGTTAGAACTTCAGTGCCAAACTAGTGTTATTGCTGGTTCAATCTCTACGGATTAAAATATTTGCGCTTAAGCACTTCCCGTACTAGCCAGTCCTTTTAACTTTGGGTGGTTGAGAATATCTCCTACTTCCTGTTTGCGTGCTTAAGTCAACTGATTTTGCAAAGCTAATTTTTTCCCCAAAAATCTTTAAAATGCAATTCTAATGATGCTCTTCTCATTGATAAAATATCCCGATTACAACACATTTTTGCACTCAACTTTGAGAAAGAATGGCAAAGGTTATTCAACCCAAATATAGACGTGCCAATTCAACTCAAACGGCAGATGAATGATAGAAGATATTATCCACCATGATTATGTATAGGATGAGACAGTGGCGGAGCCACGAATTGGGATTCAAAAAAAAAATGCAAAAATGTATACCTACAGTCTTCCCTTATGTTAAGATGATTCAACAATTTATATATGTACAACAAAAATTGTTTTTATCGCACTTGCAAAGTATAATTTTCAGACAAAGGGATTCAATTGGAGCCCTTTCCTTACCTTTAGCTCCGCCCCTGGGGTGAGAGAGGATTTTCCATGTTGGAAGACTTTTCTATAGGCTTGTGAAAATTTTAATAGCCTTTGAACATTTACGTTTCACAGGATGGCAATACACCCCTTGATCTTAGCCTTTGTTATGGCAAAGATTTCAAGTCTTATGATCTGGCGAAATTACTGAAGCTCGTTCCTGCTAATAGAGAGCTGTGATTCGCTTCTACAATTTAGTCACAGCTCCAAGAGATGGATCTTCCAAATATTCAAGAAGATCAGAGCCAGAACATTGACTTCGCCGTCTTAGCTCATATTTAGCAGATTCTTCTGCAGATTTGCCTCCGACAGAAGAAATGCTGATCAAACAGTTGAGGAAGTTCATTAAGCATGTTACGATGGAGATATTGACGCACAATTCAGATTATCTATAAGACCTGGAACTGCAAAATCTTTGGGCAATTGTGCAGTCAGTCTTGTAACAGATTTGTAAATTATCTATTTTTTATGGCATACATGTCTCAGTACTGAGTTTACACATTCTACTGAGCCAGTATCAGGGAATTGGAAAGTTATGAATTCTTTAGTACGTCTATGAAAAATATCTTACAACTTCTGTCTGTTCATTCCTGGGAAGAGAGAAGCAGATAGAGCAAGGGCCGCTATAATTGCTTTAGCACTAGGTCCCAACCCAAATTGTTTAAACATCCTGCAACTTAAATAGCGTTTTGTCACGTCCTTAGTCGTTAACTAAGTACACGTGCGGCACTTGACAATTTGCTCACGTTCTTGCTATGCCAAGTCAGCCTTACTACACTCAAGATCGCTAAGAGAATGGTAGAAATAACACAAGAGAATTATTAAAGGAAGCTTTGTATTAGAGAGAACTTGAATTGTTTGCTTGATGAATTACAAATGAATGGCCTCCTTTATATACTAGTCTCCTAGGAGCTAGTGTGCAAATATTAATTGTTACACAAGTCTTTAATATTTACAAGATAAGGGCTTTCTCTAGAATTCTCTACAAGCCTAGAAGATTCCAAGGACTTTCCTAGCAAATCTATAAACATCTAGGATCTTCCAAAGGAAATGTCCATACTTCTCTAGAATCTTCTCACAAATGCAAGCATTCCTCCTATGTAAGCTTCCACATGGCATTAATATATGCCAAATGGCGCTTATGTGGCATGATGACATGGCGAGTCATCACACTCTCCCCCACCTAATGTTGCGACGACCGCGGCGCAATGTTGCTGCATAAACTCTCGGATCTTATCTTTGAATTGCCATAAATCTTCATAACGTTCCCATGTGGCCTCCTCCGGTGATTGCCCCTTCCAATGGACGAGGAACATTGCGGTGGCTTTTTGCCCTTGTTTTCGCCTGGCCTGGTAATCAATAATAGCCTCAATCTCCCGGTCGTGCGAGGCGGTGATAGTAATAGGCGCTCGACTTGATTGGCCCCTACTTGGATCATCATTGTCTTCATGATAGGGCTTAAACATGCTGGCATGGAAGACAGGGTAGATCTTAAGATATGATGGCATGTCAAGCTTGTATGAGATCTTGCCTACCTTGGCGACTATCTTAAATGGCCCCTCATACTTGCGAATCAGATTCTGATGCATGCCTCGTAGTGCCTTAAACTGTCTTGGATTAAACTTCACCATGACCATGTCTCCAACTCTATAGTCCGTGGGACGCCGCTTACGATCTGCAAACTTCTTCATCTTCTTAGCTGCCTTATCCAAGTAGGACTTAGCAGTGTCAAGCTGCTCTTCCCATCCTTTGGCCATATGATAAGCCCCCAAACTCTTTCCCTCGAACGCGGCTGGTAATGAATGTGGAGTTTGTGGCTGTTGGCCTGTGGCTAGCTCAAATGGTGTCTGTCCCGTGGACTCACTCCGCTGCAAGTTATAAGAGAATTGGGCGATGTCTAGGAGCCTTGACCAATCTTTCTGATGCGCGCTTACATAATGCCTCAAGTAGCATTCTAGTAAGGCATTAACCCATTCCGTTTGTCCATCTGTCTGTGGGTGAAAACTAGTGGAAAAGTGCAGTTCCGTGCCAAGTATGTCGAATAATTCTCTCCAAAAGTTCCCAGTAAAACGGGGGTGTCGATCACTGATAATATGCCTTGGTAAGCCCCAATACTTCACCACATTGTTAAAGAATAGCTTGGCGGCTTCCTTGGCAGTGCAACCTGGTGTGGAGGGCATGAAGGTGGCATATTTGGAAAATCTATCCACGACCACCATAATAGTACCATAACCTTCAGACTTCGGTAGGCAAGTGATAAAGTCCATAGTCACGCTCTCCCACGGACGCTCTGCAACTGGTAGTGGCTCCAAAAGTCCTCTGGGTTTTTGTTGCTCAACCTTATCCTGTTGACAGACAAGACAAGTCTGCACATAACACTCTATGTCATCTCGCATGCGTGGCCAATAGTAGACTGACTCAACCAAGGCCCTAGTGCGACGTTGGCCTGGATGACCAGCGCACATTGTGTCATAACTCTCCCTTATAATCTGCCGTCTAATGTCTCCAAACTTAGGCACGTAGACTCGCCGACCTGTGGTACGTATTAGGCCGTCTTCGACCCAAAAACGTCTCGTATTGCCCTGGTTGGCTAACTCGATAAGTTGTTT